GGTACTTCTCCTTCGACACCGAGCGCAGCCCCGGGCCCCTCAGCTGTGACAAGGCCACGCAGACCCCCAGCCCGCCCTGCCAGGCCCTCAGCCACTGCCTCAGCGCCATGGGTAAGGTTCTGGGGGGTCCGGGGACACAGGGAGGGCTGCGGCGATTGGAGTGCGCCAAACTAGCCCGCCGGGCTCCCATCATCATCCTCTTCTTTCTCAGCAACCCCTCACTGTGTTTGTTTTTCCCTTTAAAAGATGCAAAATGCAGCTTTTTGTAGTGATGTGATGCGCTGTCATGCACCTCCAGCGACACCTCCTGCATCCCACTGTCCCATTTTTGGGAACACCCTTGGAGCAGCACCCTCCTGCACCCTCCCCTGCTTGAGCCCCTGCTGTACCTGCGGGATGGTTGCGAAAGGCCCTGATGGGGCCTTGAGCCTGCGCCAGGGCAAGGCGTGGGGCACACGAGGGGCTAGTGGCGAGCGACCCGGCTGATTCGGGGCTGGTGGCAGGCTGGACTCTCACCAGGCAGCTGGGGCTGGAGAAAATGTGCTGCTGAGGAACGCCTGCTCATCCAGCACTTTTTTCTTTCATTATTTTTTTTATTTTCTGGGATGGGTCAGTCTCTGCCTGAGGAGGAGGGGACAGAGTTGTTTAATCCAGCTTCCTATTGAGGGCTTTCTTCTTGCAAGGCTTTATGTGCTGCTTCTCGCAAGGTTTTCTGTGCTGCTGCGAGGTAAGTTGACTTCTCGCTCGTTTTTTTGCTCCTGTTTCTCAACGAGCCACGTGGTGTCACAGGCGCTAGGGTCACAAAACTCCCGCTTGTTTTGCCAAAACCCAAAACTGGCACTTGAAAGCAGCGTGGTGACGGGCGGACGTGTGTTTACGTGTGGCTTAGCAGGTAAGACTGGGTTTGAAGCCTCTAGTGGTGGGGAAACCAGGCCTGCCAAAGCTGCTCCAGCCATCCTGCCATGCCTTTCCCCTCTCATGATTAATTCCTCTTAATTGGAGGAAACCTTTTAACTTCCACCAGGTGAAACAGGGAGCGAGGCAGGTATCACATCAGTAATACTCTTTGGGGGATAACAAACACCAACTCCAAGCTTTACATGATCAAAACATCATATTTTTTGTTGTTTTCTTTTCTTTTTTTTTTTTTTCCTCTCCCTGGTTAATGGCTGTGGTTACAGCTGCAGAGGGCTTACTGTAATATGCCCTTAGGAAAGGTTTTCTAACATTATTGCAGTAATTACAGCTTAGTGCAAGTTTCACAACCTCACATAGCACAAACACACGTGGCACAGGTAGGCAGGGATGCTGGAGTTCCTTATGGAGAAGCTTTTTTCTGGGGTACTCCAGGAAGAAATTGAACTTCTCCCATTTTTATTTTTTTTTTCCCCGAGCTCCTGCTTTTTTCATCGCCATAGGGAAGCTGTTGAATTGCTGGTTTTACTGGAGCCTTTGTTCTGTTATTGTTGCTAGGAGCATCATCCTAAACAACTATAAGCAAATGGAAAATACTTGAGCTGTTTAAATGGGACCCTTGGCTACTCTCAAGCATGGTTAAGTGGAGAGTGCAGAGCTGTGAAGCTGTTTTTATCCCTGGTCAGGGACTGCAGCTCCCAGGCTGTGACTTACCGTGCAGCTTGCCTGGAGAAAGGGCTGTGGGTTTGTCCTGTGCACCTCTTCCTCTGTCCTTGCCTTGCCAGTGTCCTGTCGGATGTGTGCCCTTAAGTTTTCCACATGGAAATGGGTCAGTCCCTCTACAAGGAAGAAGAGGGTATAATTTTTGTTGTTGTTGTTGTTGTGTTTTTATGTGCTGATTTTTTTTATTTGTTGCGAGGCATTTGCTGTGGGCTGAGAGATGATGAGCTTCTCTAGGAAGCGTGGGCTTTAATAATAATAACAATAAGCAGACGTTTCCTGTAAACAAGAGCAGTTTGTGCGCGATAGGTGCTCAGCCGCTCCCCTGGGCAGCCGTTGGCTGTTCCCAAGCTCGTGCTCTGCCCTGGAGCTGCCACTTCTAAATCCCATAAATACCAAAGTTTCCAGTGGTAATTAAATGCTGGAAGTGCCCCTACCGGGCAAAAAATGTGAAGGCAGCCCTGGGGAATTCGGAGATGCCATTGGTTGTGTGCGGCCTTCTGAGTGAGGGGTAGTTGCTGGGGGAAAAGTTGCCCCTTTGGCATGGGAGGTGGCAGGCAGTGACGCTTCTGAGATGTCTCAGTGCAAGGGAGTACAGCTGGCGTCCTCCAAAGCCAGTTTTTTAGGGAAATGAGAGGAAAGCAGCCAGGGGATGTTCTCGGATGGGAGGCAGGAAATACTGCAGTGCTGGCTGGGTGTATCTGGGAAGGTGCTTTTGGGGATGAGTAGGAGAGGAAGAGGGATGCCATAAAGTCACCCGAGACCAGAAACCCACCCAGAAACCCACCCTATGTTCAGTTTGTGCGAATCTTACACTAATATTTCAGATCTTTAGCTCGTAACGGGAGTGGATTGTTTCATTTGGTTGGGTTTTTTGTTCAGATAGCGCCTCTGCCTAAAGGTGTGGGAGTTCGGGGTTTGCACGTGGGTTTTGGGGTATATTTGGAGCCGGAGTGTGCAAGTGCACTGTAAATGGGTTTTCCTGGTGCTGTTTTGATCCCGATGTTTTCCTGCACTGCAGAAGAGGGGAGAGAAGCAGCGGGAATCTCTCCTTGCCTCTGAAGGAGATCTTCTGGGTGTGATGGTTGAATTTAAGGGGGGAAAACCTTGAGCTGAAAAGCTGGCGGTGTCATTCCTGTTGCTCTCATTTCAAAGCTGCTGCCGTTTTCTCCCTGAACTTTATGCATAGTTCATCTGAAGCTGCTCTCCAAGGAGGTTTTCTCCAGAGGGGTTTGGATGACCAAGCCCGGGAGGTAGAGGTGCAATTTGGGGTTGAGTTGTTTCTGGTTTTGTTGTTTGCTTTTTGTTTGTTTGGGTTTTTTTGCTTCTAAGCTGGGACCATAGCATCACTGTGCTGGTCCCCGGCTGGAGCATCCCATGGGCTCCAGTGAAATGCAGACATTGAGCATCCTTGGGATGCTGGGGGCCTCTCGGTTCGTCCCTGTACCCATGGCAGCCGTCTTGCCATCGGTGGCGGGCGCCTGCTTGCGGTATGACTAGGGGCCCCCCGAAAGCACCTCTGACTGGTTTTGGGACCAGTTATGACTGGACTCTTTTGACGCTGCCATTTGGTAGCACCACAGAAAGTCCTTTCTGAAAACCTCAGTCCAATTTCGCTCTCAGCCACCAACCCCAGCCTTCATCTCGAGTGGGTAAGCTCTTGGGTGCGATGCTGAGGCAAGGGGAAAGAATGGAGAAGGAATGCTACCTCTGCCCCATGCAGTTTTCCCTGCATCTCTGGGTCTCTTTGCATCTTTTTGTCCTGTCTCCTGTGTTTTGTAGTTGTTTGGTTTGTTGTTTGTTTTTTTTCCTAGCTTCGCTCCTGCCAGGAAAGGCAGCCCAGGGCCAGCTCTGGTGATGGCAGTGGGATTTTGGATGGTCGGTCCGCCCCAGCCAAAATCCTGTTTGCATTCCCGGAGCGCTGGGGTGGAGTATCGCGAGGGCTGCACCGCGTTTCATTCACCAGCGAGGAAAATAAATACGCCGGGGCTGTCCCCGGGCAGGCGGCGGGAACTACTCCTGTGCTACTACAGCGTGAAAACAAAACAGATCCCTGAGCCAAGCAGTGCTAGTTTGGCTCAGAAATACATTTTCCAGTCAGGTTGGAGCCAGGCTTTTATTTAATTTTTTTATTTTTTTTTACTGCCCCACTAATCCTTTGAATATTCTGAGATTGGAAGCTATTTCTGTTCCCTTGTGATTCCTTCTAAGCTGTCGTGCCAAAATGCTCTGTTTTGTTTTGTGTGGTGGTTTCTTTTCGAAGTTTATGGGGTTGGGTTTTTTGTTTGTGGTTTTGTTTGTTTTTTGTTTTTTTTCCTTAAGGCTATGATTCCTGCTTGGATACTGCACTTGAGTATGCAGAGGGGGAAGAGGTGGTGCAGGTCCCACACAGGGTCCTGCTTGGGTCACAGGCTGCTCCTTTCTTCCCTGGCTATTTGGGGGATTGCAAGGTGGCTTTGTCACATGTCTGATAACTTCTTAAAATGGAGACTAAAGTAGCTTTGTATTATACAGTATAATTGATGCATTAGCTCTTTTTTTTTTCTTTTCTTCCCCTCCTCTTTTTATAAGCCAGCGCTGTTTTCTTTTGTCGGGTTTATTTTCTGCTGAAGTGCAGGAAGATGCTGGTTGAAAGGCGAGTGTCCCAGTTCCCTCCTGTGGATGGAAAGTCTGTCAGTTTGCTGGAAGTGTGGTTTCTCGGCATACAAATCCAATTGTGGCTTTCTTCTCAGTACAACAAAACCGATCGTTTTCCTTTTCTCGTTGAGCGCTTCAGAACTGTTTGGGGAAGAAATATGAGAATTTGATTAAACTATCCAGGCAGAGGTTTTTTAAGGTTAAAGAAGAAGTTGCTGCTGCGCCTGCAAGAAGAGAAAATTATTTAGGAAGCAGGGGAAGGGGAGGTTTTGCTAGGGCAAGAAATTGGAGAGTGGCATTTCTGCTTTCCTCCGTATTTAAGAGGGGACGGATTGGATGTGCCAGAGGAGATGCTCCTAAGGGAAGCCTGTAATTAAAAAAAATGAATTACTAAATTCCTAATAATAATACAAAAATAACAAGGAATAAAAGCCTGTCCTGCGATGCACATTGTATGCAATGCGTCCTGTTTGCGCTGCATACCACGTGCAGGCCCTAGCAGCCTGGCATCTGCACAACCAGGAACTGTCTTTTAAAAACTTTAAAATATTGTAATGACAACAAAAATAATAGTAGTCCATTGACTTTTGCCAAGTTTATTAATAGAGTATTTGGTTTTATATGTTGTTCCTCTGCTTCAAATGCTCTGTTTTTGTTCTGTGCAGCTTCCCGATGGCAGTCTCACTCGCTAGCAGACGACATACAGCCCGAAATCTGGATTGCACAGGAGCTGCGGCGCATTGGAGACGAGTTCAATGCCTCCTATTGTCCAAGAAGGGTAACTTTCATATTTTTTTTTCTTTACTTTCCATTTCTTTACACACGGTCTCTTAAAAGGAAAAAGCTTAATCATCTCTGGAAACTAGTTCTGTGGTGAACGTTTCGTTCACTCAAATGTAGAAAAGGATGCGCGGGTGGTTGTGTTTGCCTGGATGCAGGGGTGTGCTGCTGACGAGTCGTCTGCTGCTGCAGCGTCATTAAATCAATTAAAAATAACCTCTAAGCTGAGACTTGAGGTTTTTAGGGTACAAAGTTCACAGTATCTTTTGTAGCAACTGGGGCCTGTAAAGTGTGTTGCTGGATTGGGACTGGGCCTGACAATAACAAGGAAGAAACTTGTAGAAGTTACAAGGCAGAGAAAGTTCGGGTGTGTTGGGGTATTTTTGGGGTGGTGTTGGGAAAAGCCCATCTGGAAGGAGTACCCAGCTGGGAGTTGGGTAGCAGTCAGGTGCCCACTCCGGCATTTTAGGAAAACGGGCAGGAAGCACATATAGTGGGTTTTTGTGCCCAGCTCCCAAATCCCTGCTGCTGAAGATTGCGTGCATGGAAGTGTAGTTTGCAGATATTGAAACAGCGACAGACTTGGTCTGATAACTTACTTTTCCTGCAAAGAGTCTGCCAGAGCTGTTTTGAAACACATGTGTTTATAAGACTGTAAACTCTCTCACCTTTGAATGTTGCAACAAAAATAGGTGGTACTAATGCCAAAAAAAACCAACCACTCAAAACCCAAACAAACCGTAAAACCAACCCCAAAACAAACCAAGCCAGAGAAATGAAGTAACAATAGTTTTCAGAAGAGCAAAGTTAGCCAGTAACTTGCCTGCTGAGCGCTA